ACTTGTCTCGCCTTTGAAAGCCAATATTTCTGAACCTTCACTTGAATATTTGGTTTCGTGATTAAGCTTTTGTCAAGCGTATGCGGCTTTAATGTTCAGGTATTTTTCTTACCCGAATTCAGAAGTTATAGAGGAGTGCTTGAAGGATATTTCTTTAATATTGGCTATTAGAGACTTTCAACGCTTCTTGATCAAGTTTTTAGTCGTAGTCACAACTTGTGCTCGCAACAGACATCAATTTCAGGTTTAGCAAATCCCTCCTAATTGATCAACTAGGTTTGTTCTTTCTGGAGAAACCGATCGGTTGGAGAACCGATAACCGGACGTGATCGTGGCTATCCTTAAATGTCCATCCTTCTAAAGAATGTTGCTAATCTCTCAATTGAGATGGTAAAATACTTTTTCTATTTGCACTTAGATGCCCCAGACCTACATAAGAAACATGGAAAATAAGTCTTGGAGCCCCAACGCTTTTCCCAAAGCACCAGGTGCAATGACTTAGTCGAGGATCATCAATTCGAAAAGCTTGCATCACTTAAAGCTGCGTATACATTATCCGAACCGAACATGTAATGTAATGCTCGTTCATGGTTCGTTCACTTTTGACAGAACGAGCACGAACGTGTTATTGCGTATTCGTTTTGTGCTCCGACCAATTCGGATACGCTACGAACATGCAGAAGTACTAAAAGACTTTGTGTTCGTCACAAAAACTGACTTTTGGTGAAGGGGGTGAGCATGTTGCGAATCTGTTCGCTTCGTGCTCGAGGTATCGTCTCAACTACACGAATTTGTTACATTACACGTTCGGTTCGGATAATGTATAAGCAGAAAAGGTACATTTACTCCCCAAGACCAACAATCATAGTGAATCATTATTAAACCCCTACAGGACTCCTTGTGCACAACTTCCAGGCGCCTAAAGATACACTATCGGATATGACGCCATGATCTCTGTTCATGAATCATGGGGGTTCAAGGAATACGGTGTTACCTATCTATAGGGGCGCATTGGCAGAAAAATAAGTGGGGATAGCCCTCACACGGAGTCCGGTTTTGCCGGATACGGATCGTCTTTTTACAGTATACGCAGAACCAATCAGATATCGGTTAATAAATGAAACGGCCAAACTTTAACATCCGATTGGTTTTCCGTATACGGTAAAGAGACGATCCGTGAGAGCGATCCGTAACACTTTTACCTGGAAGCATGTATTGCCATTGAATTTATTTGAATTTATAAATTCAATGCCCAATGGTATTACTACAATTTATTATCGTGGATCATATCCGTGGATAAATCAGTTATGCAATGTTGCCTGCCTACCTTCTAGGCTAAGAATCCATTTTTTTATGAACTTTAAACGGGCTCTGCCTTCAAAACCTACGGAACACCTTGTGGTACTATTTGAACGCAATATCAATTTCTCCTACGTTACAGGAAATTGGTTGAATATGAATGGTAGCAAAGAAACTCGTTTAAATCTTTCAAATTTGATATACGTCTAAAATTGCATATGTACCGCTTTATACGAAGAGTGTACGCAAGTGGGTTTATTAGTGATAAAGGCGCGTTTATAATGCTTTGCAGGCGGAGACGAACCATCCTGTGGCGTTGGGGTTGTTTCATTTTCTAATTCGCATTTGGTAATTCGTGAGAGCGACATGTGAGTGTTTTACTATCGCACAAACTTGGGCGACAGCAAGTCAATTTCGTTTTACAATTACGCACTATACATAGAAAAGTTATATTCACACGAAAAAAATTCTACCCGTGCATCACGTGATCTAAGCCGCATCGAAGCTGAAATGACTGATTCCTTTTCATTAAAATCTACTTTCACAAGTCGTATAGATCCAGTAAGGACATCTCTTTAGCCTGGGCACAACGTAAGGCAAATCTGTCTACATATTTGGGACAATTGTCTATTGCGGTCAACTTCATATATCACGAATACAAGTCTTGACCTAGGGGAATCTTGAATCCGGATGATTTCTATACGAATCGCCGTGAAATAGATAGGTATCTTAAAGATATCGTAACGACTCCAGTATTTTGTTAAATCGTTCATTTTGTTTTATAGGAGTTAAACAGTTTAAATTTAAAGAATTTAACATATTACGGCTACGTATTTTCACACGTAATTTTCAATTAGCCAACAAAGTTCTATTTTACGTGTGTTTTAATAAAACTTAACTGGGAATTAGTCAGATTATTTACTGTTTTAGAGTAGCTACGAACCTTCTTCCAGTTAAGTGTACAGATTTATTAGCACGTTAGAAGTAAGATACCTATATTTTCAACATCGCTGACCCGCGGTTATTAGAAAACGAAGGTCGGTTTAACTGTAAAGGTAAAAGTAAACAGTAAAAGCTATTTTTAATATTAAAAATAAAATGAAATGACATCTCTGATGTGGTAAACGTGAGCGAGGTGGGGCGGCGCAGCCGAAATTATGTCAGATCCGGAGGTGGGACATTGGCTGATAGGCGGTACGAAATTCGCCGGGTTTGCTAGTAATAATAAATTTATAACTTTCGAATGAATATACACAATACATATTATTTAACACTCACATGTACACAATTTATAACAGCGCGAACTATTTATTATTTCGGCGTTGAAATTGAAACTCTCCTTACACGCGATTCGGTTCGGTTCGCGAACGCTTCCCAACGCTCTCGAATGTTCTAGAATGTCCTCGAACAAACACGTCATACGACGGTTGGAGCGCATCCACAGTCTCATGCGACCTTTGTTCTATAACGCGACCTTGATGGGGGGGGGGGGTACTTGCAAGATGATGACATTTTCCATTGTTGAAGAAAAAACAATCAACCGTCTTACGAAACGGTTGCGAGATTCCTCTGGGGTTAAAGCAAGATACCAATAACAATTACTTCGTCTAAGTACACAGGGGCGGACTGGGTACTTACGGGCCAGGTGGAATTGCATAGGTTACGGGCCATTAAAGTATTAGTGTAGTAATGAAGGTGGGGGGGGGTTAGCTCTGAGGTGCACCACAAAAACATTTTAAAGTACTCCTTTCTCGAAAATCGACGTTTTTTTTTAATTACAGCTACAGCGTTTTATTTAATTGTCACGATAGGTTGTAGCAGGCGCTATAAAAAAATATTTTTTGTATAAACACTTGCAAGATGATGACAAAAGAAAAAACAATCAACCGTCTTATTGCGAGAAAAGCAAGATACCAATAACAATTACTTCGTCTAAGTACACAGGGGCGGACTGGGTACTTACGGGCCAGGTGGAATTGCATAGGTTACGGGCCATTAAAGTATTAGTGTAGTAATGAAGGTGGCGGGGGGGTTAGCTCTGAGGTGCACCACAAAAACATTTTAAAGTACTCCTTTCTCGAAAATCAATTACCATACAGTTTTTTTTTAATTGCAGCTGATAATTAAAAGTAACAAAATATACAATCCACACGAGGTGCGTCGCCTATCATTGTATTTCAGCACTTTCATGCTACGACAAAAAATGATAAATTCATTGTAAAACACTTCAATTAAAACAGAATTTTTTAACAACCTAACATCAACCCCAATTAGAGAAACGTGTTAATAATTTATTAACAGTGCAAGAAACTAAATACAGCACATACTTATAACTTTCCAACGGGCCATTATGATCTACAGGCCAGGTGGAAATCGCCACCCGCCCCCCCAGGCCAGTCCGCCCCTGTAAGTACACAAAACATTTCCTGTTAGACCAGTTCGGGGGCGTTGCACAAACCAAAGGGCATAGACGTAAATTGCCATAAAACCGACTCTCTATGCTAAAGGCTGTCTTTTCGCAATGTTCAGGATCCAAACCAACTTGCCAGTAGTCGCTTTTCATATCTAAGGTGATAAACCATTCATCATCTATTCAGGGCAACGAATAACTATCTTTGTTAGGTTGTTCACTTGCGTATAGTCTACGCAGAACAGCGTGCTGCCATCTTTCTTCTTCTTCATTAAACTCATAAAAGGCCTATTATGGACAAACTGATGAATCTCGGTTTTTAGGTACTGATGGTAAAATACTGATAAGGATTTTATTTCAGTGAACCAAATTTACTTAATATGTTACATAGGTTATTGTATTAAGCTGAGCCGTTCATTGAAGTGCATCTTCAAAATCGTCGCTCGAATTTGAAAACTAAACCATAGGCGTGTAGGAAATTAAGAGCCCTTTCCAATGATGTGCCACTTGACCCAACATTCAATTAAAATTATTGAAGGAGTGGCAACCCTGCTTAGGAGGTTGATAGAAGGGGAGTAAATTTTTATGTAAAAGATGTCCTCTCTTCTAACTAAAATTGACGTGTTTTTACGTTTTTTTCCAAAAACAATTTCCTTGCGAGTTATTCAGATTGTTTCGTTTTCGTTGTGCCACCCTGTATTTTGTTTTTGTTAAGAAAAAGACCCAATTCCATTACTCGATACGAAAGACACAACCCATGTGATTTTTTTTAATTTATAGATTTGTTGTTGAAACAATTGGAAACAAAACGTAGTAATTGTTGTCTTTCTTTATTAATGTTATAGCCTTATAGGAGGAGAGGGGGCAATTTCTTTAGAGTCAATTTTGGACTCGACTAGATAGTTTCTGTTAGCTCCCAATTCATTAGACAAACCTAGTCACATACCCCTTGATACTCTCTCTTCATTTCTTGTGATTCTGTTTTGTCTATAGAAAGGGTTTAACTCCTAACGCCTTCGTGCCTTGATAGAACGATTAGTAATAATTTTTGATCGTCCTGGAATTTATCATCAACAATCTTATATCTTGCCTTTAATTTTTGTTATTACAACCATTATATCAAGTCAAAAAATAAAATTTAGTGTTAGACGATCTGCCATTTAGAAACTTGAAGATTCGAATTGAAATTAGGTTCAATTTATTAAGACAAAGAATATGTATCGCATGCTTGGTACAATCATACAAACTAATAAATTGATAATTGAGGTCAATTTAAGCAACTAAACTTTACCTGAGTAGCCATGTTCGATAAGTTTAGCATTTTCATGAAAACTCGCTCACATCTGTCGATAGGGGAGTACAACTGTAAAATCACTGTGGTAATTGGTCCTGACATTTTTGTCATTAAACCTGCAAAAAAATGGGCAAAGATTAACGTGTTGGTAGTGAAAAAATTAATTGAGGTCTTATTTAATTGTTAATTGGTTGGGAACAGTGCATAAAAATAAACCAGACGGCGTTAAGTATACTATTTTACTTATTTATAGAAATAGAAGCTATACATTTATTATCGTTGCTATGACTGATAAAAGGTCTTCATCTACGCGGAAGTCATAGAACTTAACATAGCAACAACAAACAATGAGCATTCTTTAGTAGGGCAGGCGCGCCTTATTGGTCTTAAGTAGAACCTTTGTGGTACTTTAATAGGGGCGATGGACATTTATTTTTCTATTTATTATCGAGCGTGTGTTGTTTGTTTTAATGTTGATACCAAAAAACTCAATATAAACAAATACAACAGTTCAAACTAGAGCAAGGCTTACGATGATTTAAAAACAAGAAGTCGTTAATTAGCAAGTGCCACATATCATTACGGCACCTTGACCAATATTTTCACCTAAAAGCGCTTAGGTTTATAAATATCGAGTGTTTCTATAATTATACTGTTATTCTATAAAACGCCGATCAGCTTCAAGAATAATAAAGTTGGAATATTAATTGAGGGCATAAGTGACTGGCGTTATTTTCCGCAAGAATCTCCTTTTTAATTTTCCATACACTTGCCAGACTTTTAATTACTTAAAGATTTTTCTTCCACAACTTTGATTCGATCAAATTTGACGTGTCCCATAGGCGTAACAAAAATCTGGGATAACGAATTGGTATGTAGATATTATAAAACCGATGTGGAAATAACTGAAGAAAACATTGATAAGATATGTCTGGGTGTAAAGGTTTTTGCATATTTATCAATGAACCCTATCGGAACGATTACTCACTCAAGCTATCAAATGATTAGAATTATGCCAAAAAAATTCAGGTATTCGCTTCTGTATTGCAGTAAGTGTCAACCGGCATGAAAATAAATGACCGTTTATGTAACAGAACTTTAATTGGTGACACTATATTTAGAGTAAAACCAAACATACTTAACACGAATCATTCACCCCGCTTGAAGATTTCGCGAAAGACTTAATAGCTCGTTGACATCAATTATTATTAATCATTTTTTTCTGATGCGATACACTGAAGGTATAAGGGGGTCGTTACCAAGCGTGTTAAAACACGCATACCATTGATGCATGCGTTTTGTTTGCCATCAGTTGTTGGTAACAAGTGCATTTTAAATATGTATTGTTTGATAATTTAATGAAATTTGATTTTGAACGTACTATGCTACTTAACGGATGATGGGATTTTTATCTCAAAACACATGGCATTCAAAATTAAATCAATAATTGCCTTTAAATGTTATCTTTTGTTTATAATGTATACTCGTAAACGAAGCGGTATTGCAGAAACTGTTGTTCCCTGTTACGCCAATGGAGCCGTGAGAAAAAAAACTGACACTGATCATATGCATATTTTAAGATGAAGGCGTTAGGGTAGTATATAATGGATGAATTTTAAAAATTTTATCACGTTTCAACTAACTTCCATACGAGTACCATCATTGCTCCCTCGCGGCTATAGGTAAGAGCAATATGATGTTGCTATCTAATTGTTGTTAGCTTTCAACGGTAGTATTTCTGGAACGTGTCAACATTCGCTATCAATTCCCTGTTTATCCGTTTCTTGGACAGTTTCCAAAGTTTATGCGATATCCTGATTTAAAATGTGTATGTATATGTGTAATGATAAATGCGTGATATGTATTTTTTGCTTTTTTTAGAGTGTTTATTAAAGCAAAACTATTAAAACGTAGCTAAGTCGTAAATAATATTTACGTATTAAGATTCTACATAGTTTCTTACTAAGTGCTCATACATTCGGTTCGTTTTTAAACCAAAGCTAAAGACTTTGCGTTATTTATAAGCAACTCGGTATTCAATCGGAGTCAACGTTTTTTTGATGCTAAAACTGGACGTTTATGATCCTTTTAGAGATGCGCAATGCGGATTTTATGACAAAAATTTTAGTCTTTTGATCTTCTTGCACACCATGAAACTATCGGAATTTTGTATTTTAGCTGTTTGTTACATTTTTATGTTTGATTTAATTTAAAACATTAGTTGGCAAAGGAAAAACTTTAAAAATGGTTTAAAATGCCAATGGTACCTAAGTAGCGTATAAGAAACTTCCTCCTCAGTATTCATAGTTTTAATATAAATACAACATTAAACTGGGATCAAGAAGGAATCTACCTTCGGTTGATCCAAGTTCTTACCCCGCTCGACCTCCACCATTGTTATTCAATATAAGAATTGTATCAATTTATGAGTTATTTAGGAGTTTTTCGCAAGCATAACAAATTTTAGATCTCGTTTAAAATCACTATTAGGAATGTAACATTTTTTATCGGCTGGCCGAGTCTACTTGGATTCAGACCCCCCCCGCCCCTTCCCCAAACTGATTGGACACTATTTAAAATTAAATTTTGTACTAGAATTTATTTAAGAGCTTTGATTTACAAGCAATTGCAATTTTTTATGTCCACTTGGACGTAGTTTTCCTTTACTTGTTTGAATTAATTTTTATGCACGAAAATTACGAGCTATTTAAGAGCTTCAAGTTAGATACAAGAAATTTTAATTTTTGTAATAGGTCAAACATACAGGGAACTTTTCTTAAATGTATACATATGGGCTACTTAAAAGAAACGGATCAAATGCATACAGTCTTAATACGGTTCTTTCTGTGGTTCCCTTTACTTATTAACGAGCGAGTTCATGATTTTGGATTTTTTGTCCGTCCATCCGTCCGTCCGTCTGTAAACATGATAACTCACGACCGGTTTCGAATTTTCCAATTCTGTTTTCAGTAATAGGTAGACAATACTTAAGAGCCTCGGTGATTAAATTTGGGCCAATAGGTACTCATCAACCGGGTGTGAACTTGTCAGTTGTCCCTCGTTGTCTATAATGGTGCAGTTTATTTCAAATTAATTTTTATACACGAATTACGAGCTATGCACAAATTGCGAACGAACTTGGAGTTTTAAATTAAAGGTGAATATTATTAATATTAGCTGATCCTTAAATCGTACCCACCGCTTTATTACTTTTAAAAAATTTGACACGTTATCGGATGATAGAGAAAGGAAATCATGTACCACGTACATTTCTTTTTATAAAATCCCAGCTCAGCTAATACATTTTCTGTCTACAGCAGTGGCTATCAGCTGAAAATGTTTCCGTTTATTAAGTTGTACAATGTACAGGGTGGTTCAAATTCGTGGTTCACTATTGGGATCTCCGCAATGGTGAGGGATACAGTATAGGTTAAATAAGGGCAAAGTTGCTTCTTTTTGTGACTAGAAAAACGTATTTGAAATTTTTGAAAAATCCTTGAAAATAACTGAGATATCATCGAAAAGTGGAAATGTCAAATTTCGTTTTCATTTTCCGTACCTCAAACGGTCAGAAATGGACGGTTACGGTTAACGCCTTCTATGGGCACTTTTTCAGATAATCTGAATCTGTTATCAAAATTTCGATAACACGCTAGATATAGAAGCTAGAGGCAAGTCCTTAGCCAGATTGATTACTAAAAGCGGACCAATAAATCTACAGAGCGCAATAATTGCAATACCACCCGCTCTAGAAATTAGTTTTTCTTGGAAAACACAGTTCGCATAATTTAGTATAATAACATACCGTCTAATTGATTTTATTTTACCGCAGATACTAAATTAACATTTTAATACTTGTGAATAAGTAGGCTGGGCCACTCTTTAACCATAAGGGTAGATAAAGTGATCACTTTAACCTCAAGGGTAGGTAAAATGAAACAGATGATTGTGATGGGAGGCGGAGCACGATATAAAATTGGGTTCAGGACATATGGCAATGCTGTTTATATGGAAACAACCGAGTACACTGCAGGACTTAAGCTTGCTATTTTTGACGTCCAAATTAAATTCAAAATTGTCAGAAACTTTGCAATGATTTATATGGCTTTTGCTATAAAATAAAGTTTTGTATTATACACGACGATGAAGGGAGACTAACCATCTCCTGGAAGTTAATTCACTCAATGGTTAAAATATCCCTTTATCGTCTTTTATGATAAATTAAAAAAGCACATTTTCAAAAGCTTTTCGGCTCTTCATGTACAACACGTCGGCGGCCATTTTGGTTTTTGAGTTGCGATTAATCTGCCACTGGTGGCTACTGTCTACCATGCAAATACTGATTCTTCATGTTATAACAAAGATATTGATACCACTCCGATGCTTCTGTCATAAAAAATCTCACCGTACCGTGTACACTTACAAGCCGACTATTTTCTTTGCACCTTGCATACATTTTTTGACATAGGGAATCGTGAAATCCATGCGTCGGTATTGCTTGCATTGTAGGAGCCATTTTCAGTATCCGCTTCTTTTTAGCCCAAAATTTGGAATAAAAATTAATTCAATGGAAATACCAAGTACAAATCGGCGAAGAACCAGAAGAATTCTCGTTGTACAGTCATATAGATATTATTTTCATTTTTCCATTGGCGGGAATTAATATCAAACGAATATTAGGAGTAATATCACACCCACTGTAATGTATTTTACAAGTAAATGGGTGGCAATACAAATGATTGGGGATGATAATGATTCGCATTTTAGAAAAGTCAACTTTCTAGACTTTCTTGATATTAACTGCAAGTTACGTTTTTGCATGTATTTTAATTACCCTAAAAATACAACATTTCGAGGAAAATATTCGTATGTTTATCCAAACGCCCAAACAATTAATATAAAAACACAGTAAATTATACGTACCTACCTACATTTATACGAGCATTTATATTTACCTGGTATATTGTTTTTGATATATTTGATCCATTTGATAGGATACATATAGTTTGCGGATACTAATATGGGCACAACTATGCAAGTGTACGTAATTAACCATACTCCACCCAGTTGGAAGATTAGTGGCATCTGTCCTCTGTAGCAATACGGAAGAAGTAGCACAACCGACAGAAGACAAACTGAAATTGCGAAAATTTTGCATATAATTTATGTCTGTCATCATCAGGTTCTCATTGTTACGAGTAGCTTTTTGAAAGGACAATCAACTCACCTGTTTGCGAAATCTTCTCATCCTGTAATTTTTTGTCACCCTTCGTAATCGTGTGGAAACTTCTCAATCTTCCCCTTACCCTTGTGATCATTCCCATTTTGTTCACCTTGTCATACACAACACTTTGATGGCCACCGCAGAAATGTACGAACTGATGCGTAAACCTTTACGAACTGAGATTTGTTTTTGCAACACGTTTCTCTTATTTTTGTTACGGAAAATGCTGTTTTTTCGCAAGCTTATTCGTCCCACTTCGTAAAATTCGCGTGCGTCACGACGTTTTTTGGCAACGAATGTTTTCGTACGAAAAACTAAGGCGTTCTAAATTTTATGCATATGTGCACCTTTACATGAAAAGTGAATCTATTTTTAAAATAGAACCTCATGATGTTGGAGTAAACATTAAGAATGTGATGTTTATTTTGTTCTATTATTTTTCAATAAATTGTTTCGATGGGGAATGGGGGCTGGGTGTTGACATGCGATGACGAACAAAGTTGCGTCCGATCTCGAATTTGGCGTTTTGGTCATTGCATTAAGAATTTCATTCATGTCCTGCCTGATTAAACACTTGTTTTTCACACAAGTTAAATTTAGAGCGGACTCACTAAAGGAGCAGTTTTTTGTATAGGATCTTTCAACCGAATCGCTCAAAATAATTACTTAGCATGAGCGTAATGATCTTTTTTGAGTATATCACTGGCACCCCTCAATTTTGGTTTGTACTATACGTACACTCCACGGTTGCCAACTTGATTGTTGTATTGCCAAAAGTACCGTCGTTCATTAAAGAATACCCAATTCATTTCCCGGAACTGTATCGCATAGTAGGTCAAATTATGTTCAGATTCGTCAGGTGACGTTGAGTCTACAATTAATCATCATTTTGGATACGTTTCTCGGCATTGCGAGAATTTTTCTCAACGAGTTGATGTCACAAATCACATCCAAAGGTTTATAATTCTATCTCGTCAAGATGATTAGGTATAGCTCCATCAAATTTTGTGGTTACTTAACTCTTTGTATATCAAAGTCCTTGTAATTTATAAATCAAGTAGCACTCTAGCACTTGGTGAGGGGAGAGGGGGCGTCCTAGGACAGATTTGACCCCTAACCACGCCAGAGGGAGTTGAACCTTGGATATATGTAAAGTCGCTTGTATTGCGCGCATCATTTGCATAAATATAACTTTCTTGTTTATTTATGAAACGATTTTTGCTGAAATTTTAACTTCTTTTCAATATCTGCAAATTGAGGGGGGGGGGGGATTAAAGTTTCAAAGGTGAGTATCTCGCGAAAGAGTATTGGAAGAGGATAGGTACTCGCAAAAGGATAATAATAGTTGACAACTATTCCCCTCCTGAAAGCATTGAATTATACTCGTAGTTATAAATTCAATGCTGAAAGTCATATACGATTCTTTATTTATTGTCTGAATTTAATCTTGAGTCGAGACCCACTTGTAACAGTATTACATCCTCCAACTATCCTTCAATTAGAAATCCGACCGTCTTCATCAACAGGTGGGTGATTTCTCAGAGGAAGTCGCAAAGTCAATTCGATGGTGGAAAACCAACCTTTACAACTTGCGAACAAGCGGAAGTCCCCTACCTGCATTCTGCGTTAAAGTTCCCGTTTCCTTTCATTCATGCTAATAACCAACGTCGACAATATAAATACCAACCTAATATTATTTTTAGTGAGTCTATTTTTAGTGAAACAATATTTTCAAAATTTGATCAGATCCATTGTCTCGCGTGGCGCACAAAATGCTCATTAAAACTATTACGGACGATAATGATCACCTAAAAACATCTACTAACATCATAAACGCTAACTAGGAAATTTAGAGTGGAGATTAAAATACGCTAATAGCGATTTGACTGAAAATGTCCTTGCTACCAGAAATAAAAGGATTGAAATGATGCATGAACTAGCGAAGTTCTTTGCACTCAATTTATTTTCGAAGCCGAAACGTTGATACAATTTTTTAATTTAAAATAATTTTGTGTTGATATGGTGATTTATGCAGGGTTTAGGGTCATTGATTGTCGCATGCTATATATAGATGCCAAAAAAATTTTACTTTGTGGAACTGATTTATGTCGCAACCGCTAATCGGCACATTTACGTGATGGACAATTGAATCCGTTAACCGTCCACATCCCACCCACGTTTGGAATGCGTCAAATGTGCTTTCTTCACGACTAAACCCATTATACAAGCACAACCAGCCATGCCGGACCTGGGTTTTGAGGAGGAAAAAAAGTTGATTTAAATGCATCGGCCCATCATAGCCTTGTTGATTCAGCAAGATCTAGTTACCCGTGGATGTTTTGTGAACAAATGAATATAAATTATGTATAAAGTATAGAGTTGACGCGTTATTATCTCTCTTTTTTGTTCGCTGTCTCATTCGGTAAAAATCCAATATAGAGCGAATGCAGAAGGTAATAACCCGTAATGTCTAATGTAGGGGTGTCAGGATTAAAAGCCTTCTAATTATATGAGTATATTGATGTTACATTAATATAAAAGTGAATTGTTAACACATAATCGGATTACATATTGATTGTGTTTTGTGTCAATTCCGACCGACTACTGTTACGGGTGGTCGGGTCTAATCCCTAAACTACCTGCTCTTTTGCCATCTGCGAAAGTGAGGGTAGCCACTGTAGAACTTAATTTTAACATTAGGGAATCGTCATGCTACACTAATATGGAAATTCTGATAACAAATTCAGATAACAGATAACAGATTCAGATTCAGAAAAAATATTCGATTAAGGACCTATTTAGTACCGGAGGATCTCAGTTGACTGCTTACGGTGTGCGGGAATGGTTGATTTTAATAATTGAAGCTTTACTAATAATGTGGTACCCTGTATTCCCATCAACAATCAGGTCCAGCTATGTCCTCTATCATTTTCAATGTCCAAACTTCAACAGTATTTTCATTGATTTTTAGAATATGTTTCATTTTTAAAGATAGTGCATATTTTAGTTTTAAGTGCTTCTTTGAAGTTATCTTTATGCAGAAATGTTAACTATAGTTCCAAACTCTTCAACAGTCACAGATGCGCCGTCAGCCAGTATCTCTACGTTTGGTTAGCTGTTGTTCATCGCAAATCCCGAAATCCATTCTTAATAATGTTTGGTTTTAATCCACTTACTGCGTTTGCTAATTACGGGAGCGGGTAGTTTTGTCCAAATTTTAGAATGGATTTGTTACATTTTAAGAAGTTATGAGATTATAGTAACTATCATGTTTAATCTGAGTAAAGACTGATTGAAGAGATGAAACCACTGTAAATAGCAACATACGTAACTGTCATGTTTAAAATAATACCCCACGTATTATACGTTTTTTGAACCTTATGGCAGTACCTACTTTATACCATACCCTGGTCTGTTTTCAACAAAGGCGACATTATCCACCGGCTTTTTGGTATAAAAACCGCTTTAAACTTTTTTAGATGCCCTCCAAGAGAATCGGAAACCCCCGTCTTTGATTCACTAAAACCCATGATTTTATGAGATTTTCTTCGGTTAAGTTCTGCATACTGGGATTAAACCATAACGACAAAGCAGTAGGACAAGCAATAAAAAATGTTGTTGATGTTTGAAGAATAATTGCTGATATGCAAATTACACTTTTGTTTCCTATTGTGTTATTACCGAGTATTGTTCAAGGAATTGTTTCAATTATTATTAGTATTGAGACATGGCTTGCTCTAATTTCGTGAATACATAGCATTAGTAACACCTGTAAAAGTTTATATAGATTTACAAAGAGAAATGAATTATAGTATAGACGCTCGTTTGCACGGACAAGTTCCTAAATATGACTCATACATGTCTACAATAAACTTTCTTTTTTTGTTTAAAGATATGTAGTTCAAAGACATTTTTGTTATTGTAAGCGCGATTCTAAGTAAAGAACGGGTAAACAGATGTCATCGAATTTGAAATATCAAAGTACACGTAAACGAATTCACCTTTGGATTCTTGCACAAGTAAATAAATTCCTATATGCGCAATTTGTAGTTGCCAAATACCAATGGCAATATCCCCGAAAGATTCCTTTTCCATTGTTATGTATATATTGGAATCATTATATATTTAGTCCAGTTGTATGGGGATATTACCTAAAAATATTTCCATAAAATGGGATACCTACTTTGCGCATTAACCACATACCTATAAAAAGGCAGCATTCGTGCTACGGCCGCCATCTTCGAAAATTGCGGCCGATTTTCACTTTTTTCATCATATTTCACTAACCGGGAAATACAAAAAAAAATTCGGAAAAGTTACAGACCTTAAAATATCTCGCTGGTGCGAAAAGTACCATGCTAAAATTATAATGGAGTTCATGTGGTAGAAAAGCAAGGGTAGTACCATTAGCATCTATCATTTACAGTCGGCGAGGAAAAGTAGTTTCTATCAACCATTATTTAATAGCTGCTTATATACATAGCACCCCAAAAGAACTAAAAGAGTGTCTTAAATATGAATTGGCACTGCGTTTTTCAACGAATCGTCAATGAAAAAAGCTACAAAATCGGCTCTAGATACTTTCAAAGAAGAGGAGCACTCGATTATTCCCAAATAGCATTGGATCTAGATACATCAAAAAAGTGAAAATCGGCCACCATTTTCCAAGATGGCCACTGTAGATCAGTATGCACGAATGTGGATATTTTGTTACTAGCTAAACTATGCAAGTTTCCCCTTTTAGGGAATTATTTCCAGGTAATTTACAGGTAAGTAAAAAAGTATTTTCTACTCTCTGAATAATACTTATATAATGCATAACAGTTCCAACATTTTGCGTTTTTTTAAAATTTCTTTTCTCAGCAAACATCTTGAAAGATGAAGATGGGCCAAAAAATGTTGACGAAAAGTGGCTAAAATTTATTTTTTAAAAGTTTGAAAAAATTATTTTGTACTCAAATTTTTGGCTCGAAATGGGAACCAAATTATTCAGACTCATAGATCACATATGCATACGGGAATTACGTCAAAGTAAGCAATAATTGCCGAGAAAGAATGAAAGAAACACAAATTTTGGAATGCAACATTTTTGGGTAGTGGCTTATATCAAAAAATGTTTAATTTAGTGCCGTCGACAACCCATTTTTAGAGATCCGCCCACTCGTCCGTCCATCTAACTCGAGAACGAAAAGAGAGGGATGTCAAATCTTCGCCAATCGAGTTCTACGAATTCAAAGATTAGTGTGTAACGGGAGCTCACCTTGAAAATTTGAATTTTTGTACTTTCTTCAGTAGAATTTTTAGGAATAATTAGGCAAT